GTGAATTTTACCTATTCAAGTTCTATGTGGGTTTTTTTTTTTTTTCCTTAATGATAGAGCACATGTTATATGATAAAATAGAGAGAATGAGAACTGCTGGACTGAATAAAAATGAGTAGATTTAACATTTTCCTTAGCAATTCTGAAAGCACTATTAAAAAAAAAGAAAGAAATAGTGTCAGCAGTCATCTTAATCATTGATGCTGTTATTTTCAAACAAGACAATGGTAATACTCCTATTTGACCTGTAGTGGGCTGTCCTCTGATGTGCTAATTACTTTTTAGAAATAATTAAGAAAATAAAAGTTTTCATAATGTATATTGTATCACCTAATTTTTACATAATTACTTTTGATGTGAAAATATTACATTTCAATTTTTCACTTCACCATGGTTAAAATGTATACTTAAATATTACTATATTAGTGTCATATTGAAAGAAAAATTAGAAATCGAGATTGAAGTACTTTGTTTTATAAATATTTATTGTTAAAATTTTAGGATTATTTAAAAAGTCTTCAAATTAAAAAAAGAAGAAGAAAAGGAAATAAAATTAAATACACTGTTTACTTTGCTTTCTGTTATACAGAGATCCAAGGACAGGTTTATTGCCTGAAAGTAGTAGCCCCAGTACTGGCTTTTTACATTGTGTACAATGACAAGTTTGAACCAAACTAGCTAAATCTAATTGTAGATCCTAAGCTGTTTTTAGGAGGACAAATTAAGGGTACTACTTGGCATGCCACAGTTTTGTTTCCTTAGTGCTTTCCTTTATTGACCAACTATTACACAATGTTTCTGCCAGGTGCTTGTGCCAATAGCCAGTATTTTGAGTACCAACAGTCAGTACTTTTTTTAAATTAAGACTTTTATTTTTAGAGTTGTTTTAAGTTCACAGCAAAAGTCGGTACTTTTTTATTTGGCTTTGCATGCCTAGTTTTCTAAAATTCACTCTATTCCCAAATATATATTTTCTGGTTCTGGACCTATATGTGGTAAATTTTGCTTTTGAAGCACACTGTGGGTAGTGATTTGATTTTTTTTTTTAAAAATAGGCTTTATTAAAAGACAAGAGAAAACACGAGTTTTTATATAATAGAAGAAAAAAACATAGCTATATCTTAATACATGAATCCTTATGTGGAAAGAGCCATTCTCGCAATAATAAGTAAATGGAGAGATGCATTATATAGATGACTAAGCTCCAACACATCTCTTCTTCATCCTAATTTTTTTTTTTTAAATCCTCACCAGAGGATGTTTTTATTGATTTGAGAGAGAGAGAGAGGAAAGGAGAGAGAGAGAGAGAGACAGAAGAGTCGATGTGAAAAACATTGATCAGTTGCCTCCTGTACGTACCTTGACCAGGGATTGAACCTGCAGCCGAGGTGTGTGCCCTGACCCGGGAATCTAACCCACAACCTCTCTGTGTATGGGATAACACTCTTTAAGTCCTGAGCCACTGTCCAGAACTCTAAATTACTTCTTAATAGTGGTTTAAACAGCTTGTTTATGTTTTCTTGAATTATTTGTTTTTGCCACCTAAACAAAATACGTCAAAACAGCTCACCACCCTAATTTGATTTTGTAAGTCTTGGTGCTATCATTTGCATAGCAAATTTTAGTAGGATATTCGATGGAAACTGCTTCACAAAATTTCTTGATATTTTTTATTGATTTGCTGAAAACATATGTTCTATTAAAGAAAAGCTTAACATGAGATGGGATGAATTAATTTTACCTGGGTTCTCATTGCTGTTTGGCTCTTCTTTTGTTTATTCCTCGAAGATTTCTTATACCCTGCACCGTTGTTGATAGAGCTCTTTACCATTTTGCTTCAGAATCCTAAGCAGGTCTCTTTTCCAACTCTCTCCAGATCATTTGTCCTCCCTAAGGAGAAAACCAACATGCGCTCTGCTTTCTACTTGTATCCCTTTCTTAATACCCTTGTCTCTGGATCAGCAGTGCTATCCTGTCTGCTAGGCTTAGGAAACACAATGAACTCACATGTATTTTTAGTCCTTCCTCCTGATCCCCATTTCTCTACCTTGCTGCTCCCATTATCTCCTCTTTTCCTGAACTGCAGTCTTTTCCTCTCTCCATGAACGTCTTTCTTTTGTTTTCTGACATGCACACATCAAAATTATCTGGGGGGAAAAGTCATTTTAACTTTTGCCCTAGGTAAATTTGGCCATATTTTTCCTCCTTGGTACTAATGCATTTTTCAAGTGAGTGGTCTACTGTTTCCTTACCTTGTGCTCCTTACTTAGCTTTCTACTTGAACTGGAGAGTCCCCGTTACTCCTTGGAAAGAGACCTCTTGAAAGTCACTACTTTTTTTTCTCTCAGTCACCAAATCCTGTGCCCTCTTTTTCCATTTTTGTTTCCTTGAGCTATCTAAAAGATAAGGAAACTAGCCATGTTTTATGCTAGGCACTTTTATATCCTCACAATAGCCTTTTAATCTTTACTGATGAGGAAACCAAAGCTCACAGAGAGTGGGTACATTGTTTATTTTAACATAGTCATTAAGTGAAGGAGCCAAAATTTGGTTCTTCTTGTGAAAATTATACTTCTTTAGCGATTGTGTGTCACTGCATTGATACTTTTCATTTCAAAGTCTCGTAGCCTATGAGGCATTATACCCCTGTCCTCTTCATTATCTGCTCTCTTACTGAATCTTCTTATTCAAGATCCCTAATCTGTACCTTTAGCCTTCGTTTTTTTCTTTATATCTTATTACATTGCCAACTGCCTACTGTGTCTTTCTAGTTGTATCTATCAACATTTCTAAGACCAAATGCATCCCTGTTTCTTTCAAATCAATGCCCTCTATAACCTGTAGATTTTTTACTGTCAGTTATTTATTTATTTTTTTCTGTCAGTCATTTTTCTCTGCATCTAAGCCAGAAACATCAGTTATCCTTTTCTTTCACTTTTGCTTATCCCCTGGTTTGGTAGCATATGAGTTTTGTTTTATTTTTTCCTGTTTCTATAATAGATTTCCTTTGCATTTCTATTGCTTTTCCACATGTTCAAGCCTAAACAAGTTAGGTTAGATATTAAAGTCTCAAAACATGCAATCCATAAAAAAAGAAATGACCAACAGTATATTTTATAATACTTACATGAGGCAGATACCAATGTTAATTTATAACTAAGGAACATCAAATGATATTAAAGTGGTATATATTACGTAACTAGAAAATTATATACTATTTAATGAATACTATTAGTGTTTTTTATATTTTATATAATTTTTAAAAAGTAGATTAGAATTATTTGGACATGTCTTAAATACTGATTTACACGTAGGTATGAATAAAGAACTTATTAAAATATTTAATTGGCACGTCTTTTCTTTGAATCACTTGGGTTAAAATTAAGCACTTCTGATATATTGTTATTCTTTTAAATGCAGAAATTTTATTTAAAAACCTGACAATTTTTGCTGAGTGGATCAATTAAATATACAGTCAACTCTCGATTATTCAAACTAATGGAGGAAAGGATGGAACAAGAATTACTATTTCTCTAGTCCTGCCCCCTCAGACAATTGCTGAAAGCCACATTCAGAGCAAATTCTTTGGCTTTTCATCTTGATCATTCTTCAGCCTTGTATCCAGGATGCAGTCTGAAATATGGCTTACAACCAAGTTGACAAGAAAGTTTCGTCATATCACATTCTGTCCTTTATATACATTTTGTAAATCAGTGCTTTAGAATTGCTTTTGTACTATTAAAATTCTCATTAGGGTGTTATCTGATGGCTCATACAATTAGTTTTATATAAAAACCTTATCTTTGAATTATAATTTACAGATACTTTTAATCAAATTACTTTGAAGTTTTTGAATATAAAAATTTTATGAGATAGTTTTAAGAGTCTTTTACAAAAATCTTACAACTTTTCAAATTCTTAATGTGTCTTATATTTCTGATCACTATGTAAGTTTTCATAAAGGGAAGAAATGCTGAAGAAATTTGTGTGAAAACAATATGTTGGGTGTATATAATATGTCATTTTCTCTACCAATTAACAGTGTACAGTTTGCTGTTATCCAGACATAAGCATTCATGGTAATGCAAGTATCTGGATAACTGTGAGTTGAAATAAAGACACCTGCCTTTTATTTCAATAACTGCACATTCAAATCCACATAAGGCAATAATTTGAATGTGACCTCCATATACATGAGAAAACATTGATTGGTTTTAACGTTTGATCTTTTTGTTGGTGTTTTGTTGTTGTTGCTTTAAATCTAAAGTAGGTACAAACTTATGGGTAATGCGTCTCTGGAAAACTTTGCATGCAGAGAAAAGGAAATTCAAAGATAAATCCTATGAAAAACATAAATTGTTTGGTTTTATGTTTTTCCTCAGTGTGTATTGGGGATAAATTGCTGTAGAATATAGCAATGCTTAAAGCCAAAGTGTGTACAACTCAAAACTGGCCTAGAATTGTGGCCACTTTGCTTTAAGTTAAATATTTTAATTTTTTTTTCTTTTAAGAATAAAGTTGTTAGTCTTTCATTTGGAGAATCTTTTCTTCTCAAGAACCTATTTCTTTCAAAAGTGTATCAGAATGTGCATCTGAGCTTTAAGAAATTGTGCTTTGTTGTTAGACAGCGGAAGTGTTTATGATAAGGCTTATTTTGAAATCTATATAGTAGTTTCTTCTTCCCCTCTTCCACTCCCCCCCCCCCCCTCCAGTTTAGGTTGTATTTTTGGTATAGTTAATTTTAACTGACATGAACCAGAAAATTGAATTAGAATTTCTTTAGGAGTCTTAACTTTGAATTTCCTACTTTTCATTGCATGTAAACTGTCAGCCATAAATAATAGTTTCAGTTCAAGTTCTAGCTTGTATTTTGCATGTTAAAGCTATAAAAAGTCTATTAATGCTAGAAAGAATTTATAGCTATTGTTCTGCTGTTGCCTAATTGTTAAATTTGTAAATAAAGACTGATTTTATTTATGAGATTTATCTTTCTGCCTTAGGGAGTGAACTACTTTATGTCCAAGGGTATCCTAGACGACTCACCAAAGGAAATAGCAAAGTTTATCTTCTGCACAAGAACACTAAATTGGAAAAAACTGAGAATCTATCTTGATGAAAGGTAAAAAAAAAAAAAAAAAAAAAAAATTTTTCATTAGAAATGAGTTCAATAATGTTTTTTATGAGTTATTTTACTTTAAAAACTATACTATGTAGCAGTTATCCAGTTGCAAAATTGAGTAAAGACAGGGAAAAGACTCCTGTATTTTCCAAGTCATTTCCTTGAGAGCTGTAACTTGGCAATAAGGAAATTAAAAGTAAAAAAAAAAAAAAAAAAAATCCACACAAAACCCAAAATGGAAACCCAACAGCTATGTAATAGCAAACCAAAACCAAGTATTTTTGAGAAGCTACAGTCTTTTTTTTTTTTTTTTTTAATAACTAGCCATAAAACCTAAGTGTTTGGGTAACTAAAAGTTCTGAATTCTAAAATTGCCCATATAAAAAATCAAATAGATAAATCGTAATCATAGACTCATAAATCCTAGTGATATGAAATATGTGTTTTTTTTCATATCAATACTACATAGAAGTGTCTTGAACAACTTTGAAAATGTGTCATTTAATAATATGTTTTGTAAAGATAGAAATGATGCATCATAGTTGTTCTGATTTGGTACTTATTCATTTGTACTCTTTAATTATGGTTATTAGTGGACCATAAAAAATACTGGGATGACATTTTGATGTGACATCACTGAACTACCATTTTTTTAATTATAGGTTTCATACTAATCTAATGATGGCTCAAAATGTTTTCACTTTTTTATTGTAATTTTCAGTGCTTTTTATTTTTCAGGATTTCACAATAACAAACTGCATTCATTATATTCTGGGAACTTTGCTAAAGAGTAGAGTTATGCAGTTAATTAAAACATAATTCCTGTGTTTGAGGAGTTTACAGTCCAGCATACTGGTCACTGAATGAAATTTCACATAAAGAAATTGTCATTAACTTTTTTTTTCCAATTTTTTTTCTTTATTGATTTTAGAGAGAGAGGAAGGGAGAGGGAGAGAGATAGAAACATTGATGAGAGAGAACATCGATTGGCCACCTCCTGCACGTCCCCCACTGGGGATTTGGCCCACAACCTGGGCATGTGCCCTCACCAGGAATCAAACTGGTGATCTCTTGGTGCATGAATCAATGATCAACCACTGAGCCATACTGGCCGAGCTGTGTCATTAATCTTCATCTTTAAATGTGAGGTACCTATAGATCAGCAGTTTTTCTCTAAAGAGCCTGATCTTTTTTAAATAGTTTAGGTTTTACAGACCATATGATCTCTGTCACAGCTACTTATAACTCTGCCATGATGTCATGAAAGTAGGCATACACAGTGAACAAACAAATGAGTGTACCTGTGTTCTGATAAAACTTATTTACAAAAATAAGCAGTGGCCTTTTTTGCACTGCCATAGCAACTGGTAGATATTAAAGATTATGATCATATAACCATGGTTTAAATCAGTAAGTATTGAAGCATTGATAACAAAGATTAACCATTAGAATGCTACTAATAAAAGAAATAATTATATATATATACATATATGTGCACAAATATTTATGTAATTGTAAATAACCTAAATGTATATCATTAGAATTGTTACATTCTTAAGATGGGATACTGTGGAGCCATTAAAAAGAATGAGTTAGGACATCCGGTCAAGATGGTGGCATAGGTAAATGCGGTATCGCGTCCTCCCACAACCACATCAAAGTTACAACTAAACTACAGAACAACCATCATTCAAAACCGCCTGAAATCAAGATGAATGGAAGTCCTACAACTATGGAATTAAAGCAGCAGCCACATCCAAACTGGTAGGAGGGGCAGAGGTACAAGGGGCGGAGGCACGATGGGCTGGTCCCACACCCACGTGTGGCGGATAAAAATCAGGAGGACACCTCGGCAGGGAAGGTCCTCCCGGAGGACTGAGGGGTCCCCATCCCACACCAGGTGTCCTGCTCAGGGTTCCAGTGCCAGGAAGAGAAGCCCCCATAACTTCTGGCTGGAAAAACCAGCGGGAACTGAGGCTCAGGGAGGCTGACGCGGCTGGAGCCCCAGGCAGCTCCTTAAAGGGCCCGCGCACGGACTTATCAGACTCTCTCCCTCTAAGCTTGCAGGGGAGGCAGCTCGAGGGGCACCAGAGATATACAGGGAAGAACTGAGCTGTTTGGCACTGGAGTGAGGGCTGGAGAGGGGGCTTTGTCCAGGACAAACGAGCTGTCAGAGGCCTTTGTTCCTTTGGTGAGCCCTTCCCCGGGGCGGCAGACAGAAGCCATATCTGGGACTCCAGCAACCTGGCTCACACTGGTAGCCCCACCCTGGTGATTCCCTGAGGCTCCACCCCACCCAACTTTCAGGCCCACCCAAGCTGTTGCCACTTGCTTAACCATAGGATTGGTCTGACTTGGATCCTGCTTCAGGTTTTCCTAAATTCTTTCAAACAAGCAGCATCTGGTCTCAGCTAGCCCCATACTAGCTCGTTAAGTAATACACAGAAACAAACACAGGGAGGCAGCCAAAATGAGGAGACAAAGAAACAGGTCCCAAATGAAAGAACAGAACAAAACCCCAGGAGGAGAACTAAGCGAAATGGAAATAAGCAACCTAACAGATGCTGAGTTCAAAATACTGCTTATAAGGATGCCCAATGAACTTAGTGAGAACCTCAGTGAACTTAGGGAGGGCCTCAAGAGCATAAAAAAGGACCAGTCAGAAATGAAAGATGCATAGTCAGAAATGAAGGAGGCACTAACTGAAATAAAGAATAATTTACACAGATTCAATAGTAGAGCAGGTACATCCAAGAAGCAAACCATCGATTTGGAATATAAGGAAGCAAAAAATGCCCAATCAGAATAGCAAAAAGAAAAAAGAATCCAAAAAAATGAGGATAGTGTAAGGAGCCTCTGGGACAACTTCAAGCGTGCCAACATTCGCATCTTGGGGGTGCCAGAAGGAGAAGAGCGAGAACAAGAAATTGAAAACCTGTTTGAAACAATGGCAGAAAACTTCCCTAACTTGGTGAAGAAAAAAGACATACAAGTCCAGGAAGTACAGAGAGTCCCAAACAAGATGAACCCCAAGTGGCCCACACCAAGACACAGCATCATCATCAAAATGCAAAAGGTTCAAGACAAAGAGAGAATCTTAAAAGCAGCAAGGGAAAGGCAGCTAGTTACCTACAAGGGAGTTCCCATAAGGCTGTCAGCTGATTTCTCAAAAGAAACTTTGCAGGCCAGAAGGGAGTGGCAAGAAATATTCAGAGTGATGAAAAGCAAGAACCTACAACCAAAATTACTCTATCCTGCAAAGCTGTCATTTAGAATCGATGGCCATTTAAAGAGTTTCCCAGACAAGAAAAAGTTAAAGGAGTTCATCACCACCAAACCGTTATTGTATGAAATGATGAAGGGTCTTTTTGAAGAAAAAGATAAAATATATGAACAAACAAAATGGCAATGAATACATATCTATCAACAATGGAATCTACAGACAAAATGAACAGGCAGAACAGAAACATTCTCATAGATACAGAGAACATTTTGTTGGTTGCCAGATGGGAGGGGGGTTGGAGGAATGGGTGAAAAAGGTGAAGGGATTAAGAAGTACTAATTCATTGCTAGACTGACAAACCTCAAAGGGAAAGGGGTTGGGGGGGTGGGAAGAAATAAACCAAAGAACTTAGATGCATAACCAGTAGACACAGACAATAGTGTGGGAAAAAGTGGAGGGGGGGGGTGGGGAGGAGGGGGATCAATGGGGGAAAAATGAGGAACATCTGTAATACATTCAACAATAAAGATTAAAAAAAAAAAAAAAGAATGAGTTAGATCTATGTGTAAAACATAGAGCTCTGGCCAGGTAGGTTAGTTGGTTAGATCATTTCCCCAATACACCAATGTTGTGGGTTTGATTCTGGTCAGGGCACATACAAGAATCAACCAGTGAATGCATAAATAAATGGAACCACAACTCAGTGTCTCTCTTTTTCTCTCCCTTCCACTTTCTCTAAAATCAATAAATGAAAAAAAAACTTTAAAGACAGAAAGTTGTTCACAATATGCTATATAAAATAAGCAAAAGAGCCCTGGCCGGTTTTGCTCAGCGGTTAGAGCATCGGCCTGCAGTCCGGAGAGACCCGGGTTCGGTTCCCGATAAGGGCACGTACCTCGTTTGCGGTTTGTCCCTGGCCCTGGCTGGTTGTGCGGGTGGCGACCACTCAATGTGTCCCTTTCACATCGATGTTTCTCTCTCTCTCTTCCTCTCTCTCCCTCCCACTCTACCTGAACAAAAAATGGAAAAATGTCCTTGGGTGAGGATGATAAAAAAATAAAAATAAATAAAATAAGTAAAATAAAATTCTAGAACAATATATTATATATGTAGACATTTTTTAAAAATATGAATATTACTTAAAGTCCCCTTTGCATTAGTATCTTTTATTTATTTATTTATTTTAAACAAAACCATTTTCTTTTTTTCAAATATGTTTTTATTGATTTTTTTAGAGAGAGATGAAGGGAGAGAGAGATAGAAACATTGATGTGAGAAAGAAATATCTATCGGCTGCCTCCTGCACACTCCCTTCCACGGATCAGACCCCAACCTAGGCAGGTGCCCTGACTGGGAATCGTACTGGGAGCTCTCAGTCCATGGGATGACATTCAATCCACTGAGTCTCACCAGCCAGGCATGTATATGTAAACATTTTTAAAAGCGTGCATGAACAGTTTTTACCTCTGTTGATGTGGATTAGCACAGAAGATGAAGACTCCTTATTTTCATAATTTAAGAAAATGAAGACTGATGTTGCTCATTTGTACTTAGTCAAGAAGATACTTGATAAGTAGCTGCCCTTTTTAATATTGAAAATTTTATTTTTTCATTTTATAATTAGAATTGCTAGTTTTACCTTGTTCTATTTATGAAATATTTTTAAATCATTTTATTCCTTAAATAATCACACTCAGATTATTTAATTGTAAGAATTATATGTACTTTATGGGAATAGTTGATCTGATACCCAATAATAAAGTATTTTTATCCAAAAAATGATGATTAATAGAGAAAAGTTAACTAAAGCCGTATCTTTTTCTTTTTCTATTAGGAGAGATGTCTTGGATGACCTTGTAACACTGCATAATTTTAGAAATCAATTCTTGCCCAATGCACTGAGAGAATTTTTTCGTCATATCCATGCCCCTGAAGAGCGTGGGGAATATCTTGAAACTCTTATAACAAAGTTTTCACATAGATTCTGTGCTTGTAACCCCGATTTAATGAGAGAACTTGGCCTTAGTCCTGGTAAGAATATATGTAGTGAATTCCTTCCTTCTCCCATTCCCTCCTCCAGGTAAAAACAATAGTTTATGAGACATTTTTCTCACCATAGGGAAAAATTACAAACACTTAGCATTGCCTACTTTAGTTTGTCATAGCTGTCATATATATAGTAAATACGCTGTTTTAGGAGATTAGACTTAATATATAATTTTTTTTTAATTATTCTTGTTTGAGCATTGGTATTTTTACTAGTCTTGAGAAAACTTGAGAAATCATTTGTAAATCTTTTAATAATATACATGTTACATAGGTGACATCTAGGATTTTTCTAATAAGATGTGTTTTTAGTAAAACTAGCATTCATTGTTTGTATGTGTGCATAATATAGCCGAGCCACTCACATTTTTTTCATGTGATATAGCTTTGCTTACCTTTTCATATCAAAAGTTTTATTGTGCTAATCTCATTGAGAAGAGATTACAAAATATTTACGTATCATATGAAATTTGTTGAACATGCTTTTATAAGACATATGTTTAATTAGCTTTGTTGAGACTGCAGAAATATCAACACCATAGTAGTAGCAAGTAGTAGTAGCAAGTATCATGAACCTTGTTAGTATTTTAATAGTAAACATTAACTATTGCCCTAAGTATACATAAAAAAAATTTTTTGTTGCATGGTGCTCAGCTTTAGCAATCTTTTCCCTGAAGATTTACTTTTGAGATTAATATGTAAATTCTGTAGGCCTTTAAAATACATATCTCAAATAATATTATTTTAATCTTATGAGTTATTTACACTTTACTTTTTAGTACCAAATTATTATATTTTATTGTCATTAAAGGTGCTTTGAAATTAAATTTGGGTTTTGTAAAAGCATATGTAAATAATATGTGACTTCTTTTTAATGGGAAGATCAATATACTGACAGTACAAATGTATTTTATGGGGGGTTGAATAGGAATATCACATTTGAAAGCAAGATGAAAATAAAGCCAGTTATGAAATTTCAAAATTTAGAGTGAGTTTTTATGATAAACTCTTGAACTATTCTAAAGTTCTTTTGAACTGAAGGAAGTGCTGAACTGGTATTCAGTTAGGGTGATCAGCCATCCCTGTTGACACAGGACGGCGTGTTTCCCAGGAAACAAGACTTTCAGTGCTGAAACTGGGAAGGGCCCAAGTAAACTGGGATGATCTGGTAATCCTATAGTTAGAATCTAATCTTGATCTCTTGAAATTATGAACATTTTTGCATGATATATTGGAACCACATCTTGAAATGTTTCTTTTTCCTTCCAGATGCTGTCTATGTACTGTGCTACTCTTTGATTCTACTTTCCATTGACCTCACTAGCCCTCACGTGAAGAATAAAATGTCAAAACGAGAATTTATTCGAAATACTCGTCGTGCTGCTCAAAATATTAGTGAAGATTTTGTAGGACACCTTTATGACAACATCTACCTTATTGGCCATGTGGCTGCATAAAAAGCACAGTTGCTAGGACTTCAACTTTTCACTTCAAACTAAAGCTACCCAAGGACTTATTTAGCAGATATGAGGGTTGCATTAGTGCCGGTCATTCTAGCCTCTGTATACAATCAAGCTTGAGTGTACAATCTTGTTTTCTTTTACTATTTTTTTTTTTTTTTTAGTAATTTTCTTGAGGAACTAAAGAATTCTGCAGAATTTTTCTTAATTTTTCTTATCATGTTTTGCACAAAGCAGAGCCATTGTTCGTCACAGCTGTTTAAGAATGTTAACTGACATTATACTCTAAAAGATGGTATATTTGTGTATTAGATTTGCCTGAAAAACTTTATTCACTTCCATTCTTTTTTAAAATACCATGTAATGTGTACATATTTAACTAGAGATTTATAATCATAATTATTTTATTGTAAAGATTTTCACTAAAACCTTTCCTTTTTCTCTCAAACTGAGTTCTGAATTTTATTTGATTCTGATCTGAGATTATTAATCTTTATAAAATTTGAATCTTACTTTGATTGAAATCAATACTAGCTTTTCTTTCCTTTGAACTTTTAAAAGAGTACTGATTTGTTAGTATGCAAAATAGGCACTTATTTTTATAATATAAATATATCACTTAACTTTTAATTTTTAAAACTTCTGGGTTAGTCAAGTCACAATATCCTTTAAACTATTTAGGATAGCAAAGTATGTTAAAATCTAAGATTTACATGTATAAGAAAAAAATATTATTAGAACTTATATTTGAAGTAATTAGTCAAACTTTACTGTTGTCCTAATGTTGATTATTTCTGTTTATTATCAATTGAGTAAAGGATGTTGTGAATAATAGCAAACATTCTTTATTCATTCATTCAGTAAATATTTATTAAGGGTCTTCCACATGCTTAGCACTGTGGTAGGTATTTGTGAAACCTAGGCATGGGCTCTGCCTTCACAGATGTTACATGGTTGGGTAATGAGAGGAAAATACTGCTTAATGGAGAGCAAATGTATAAGGTATAACTTAATGAACCATTATTTAATAATTAAAACACAACATTGGTATGATAAAGAACAGTATATTTATATGATAAGTCAGAAGTTCCCTGGAAATAGCTCTAAGTGAAAAGCATCAGCTTTGGTGTGAGATACTATGTGATGGATAGATCTGCTAGTTCATGGGAAGAGAATTGGAGTAGAGACTCTGGAGATGTGGAATCCGAGCTTTCTTCTAGATTTGGCCCTCAGTCGATATTACAACTGAATGAGGTACTATCGAATTTTCAAAGACAAACCATAAGGTAATCAAACAATTTTTGAAAGTCAAAGGGACTTTTAGACTTACCAGTCTAAGTTTCTCAAGTAAATACCTTAATACTTTTTACAAGTACATAATTTTGAATTTTGTGACAAAACAATTCTAATGTTTAACTTCAAAATGGATTAATTAACTTTAAAACTATCATATGAAGTTTTCAAACAACAGAGTAATGATGACATTTATTATCATTTCTGTTTTCCAGTGAATGGCACCTTGCCCTCTGCTTCTCCTGTCCTTCCTTGGTTTTCTCCATTTCTGTCTCTCCTTTACCATTTGGTTTTCTCAGTCTGTGTTAGCTTGACTCTCTCTTTTTTGGTACCTTCCTTATCTCACTTTTTTTCCTTTTTCCTGTTTTTCTTTTCCATCCTGACCTGATTATATAGATTGGTAATATTATTTTTTCAACATTTTCTTCTGAAAATTTTCAAACATATAAAAGTTAAATATTTTACAGAGAATGCCTATGTCCTCCTACCTAGATTCTACAATTCAAATTTTACTGCATTCTCTTTACCACGTATTTATCCATTTCTCTATCCATCAATCAATCTGTCTTACTGTTTTGATATAGGTCACAGTAAGTTTCAGGCATCAGTACAGTTCTTTCCTAAAGACTTCAACTTTCATATCATTAGCTAGAGATCAAATTTTTAGTTTCTTTTTCTTTTTAGGTAAAATTTACATTTAATAAAATGCATAAATCTTTACTAATTAATGAGTCTTCGGAAATGCATACATGTATGTAAACCAAACCCATATCAAGCTATGCAACTCTACAAAGCCTATTTACAGTTAATATTGTACCACTGCACATAAAATATAAAAACTTTGTAACCATATAGGTGTGTTTACCTCATTACCCTATCTGTTATTTTATAGTTGTCATGTCTTACAAATAACATGTTATAAACTCCACAATAAAATGGTATAGTTTGCTTTGTACAGTCATATATATTTTAAATAAATTAAGAAAAAATACTCTTATATTTACCACACTGTCATTTCTAATGCTTTTATTCCTTTCTCTTCAGTAATACAAATCATTTCAGCCTGAAAAACTTTACTATCTCTTACAATTCAGGTCTTCTGGCAATTAATTGTCATAGTTTTCTTTTATATAAAAATGTCTTTATTTTGTTTTTCTTCTTGAAGAATATTTTCTTCTTGAAGAATATATATTTCTGTGTTGACAGTCTCCCTCCCCCCTCTTCCCCCTTTGGCACTTTAAAGACATTCCATTGTTTTGGCCCTGTTGTTTCTAATGAGAAGTCAGTAGTACTCAAATTATTTCCCCCCTCTGCATAATAATGTCATTTTTCCTCTGGACTGCTTTATTTTGTCAGATAGTTTTTCAGCCTAATTTTCTGTTTCCATGTCTTCTTTATACATATGCTGGACCTTTCGATGCCTCACAGATTTGTGAGGTTTTGTTGATTTTATTCATTTTTTTTTTTTCTTTTTCAATTTGATTCCAGTTCTTGATCTATATTTCAGTTCACTTACTCTCTGGTAATCATTCTTCCTTTAAGCCCACGCAATTAACTTTTTTCTTTTAATTATTATTTGGTTCTTGAAATTTCATTTAGTGTATAATTTATATTTCTGTGCTATTTCCTATCCATTCATTACAAGCACATTTTCTCTTTCAATTTCAAACATAGTTATAATAGCTGCTTTTAAATCATTTTCTGCTTATTTTAATATCGAGATCATGTCAGTGACTGTCTTCCTTGATTGTCTTTTCTTTTGTGAATAGATGATATTTTCTTGTTTCTTCAAATGTTAGTAATTTAGATTTTGTCCTGGATGTGGTGAACAAACAGTAGAAACCTTGGATTCTGATATGTTTCTCCAAAGAGTTTTTAATATTTGGCAGCTAACGTGGCAGAATTTCTGTTGCAAGCCCTTGCTTCCCTGCAGCTGGTGGCAGCTCAGATCTCAGTTTAGTTCTTCAGCCTAGCTGCTCGACCTGGCATCTTTCCTGTGCATGCATGCTTCAGAGACCAGACGAGAGTTTGGGTAAGAGTCTATACATGGAGTTTAGGCTTTTTCTCTGGTTCTTTCCTTGCCATTATTTCTTCATTTTTCAGCAGCTTCCATTGCCCCAAACTCTGTCTTATGGTTCAAGTCAGTAAAGCTATAGACTTCCATGATATGTATGGAATGGGGGCTGCCCTCAGGCAGAGAGCTATAGAATTTGGAAAATTCACTCAATGCTATTCCAAGTGTTCTCTCCTCTGTTGTATCAATCTATTTTAGGTTGCTTTCCATTACTTTCAGGTAGTTGATATATTTTGTCCAGTGTTTGTGATTTCTATCTGTTGGAGGATTGATCTGAAAGAGCTACCTGGCCATTACTTGACATGGAACCTCTCCCAACTGGACAGTATTCTTTTTTCTACTTTGTATGTTTACTGAATAACGCTTTGTTCTTGGTTACTTTTAAAAGTAGGTGAGTAGAATTTGTTAAGTGTTCTGTCTATGAAAAACCTTAATAATAAATGTTACTAAACATTTACTAAATTAGCAATTCATTGTTTCCCAGTGGGGGTCCCACTGGCTTTTGGGGAAGGATGTCCTTCATTATGGGACACTGCTCTGTGCAGTATAGGACATAAATATGCCTGGATTTTCCCTGCTAGATGCCAGTAACATTCTTCAGTCATTGTAACATAAAAATAATGTCCCAGTGTTTCTGAGTGCCTGCAGGGGAGGCGTATCCCCTAAAGTTGGGAACTATTGGAACTTCTTTCAGATATAACAAACTTTCTAAAATGCAAACTTCTGATAATACCATTATTTAAAGCCAATGCCTTCCTTCTCTCTACAAAATTAAGTAAAGCCTCCTTAGCATGGCATATAAGACCCTTCATAATCTGGCCTTAGCTTTTCTTTAAATCTTCATCTCCTCAAATGTAGTTTGGATCACCTTTGCCTTTTATAAACGGTTCTTTCTGTGATAGCCTTCTCTCCCTTCTGTATCTAAAGTTCCCCTCATCATCTAAGATCCACTCCAAATCTTTTTCTTCCTCAAAACTATCCAAGACTCTATAATACTACCACTGGTGTTAATTACTTCTTTATGTGTGAATATCTTTATTATTATAATTATACTGTAATTTTCTACATGCCCAAATCCTCTATCAGAGTGATCTTATTAAGAGGTCAAGGGTTGCTACCAGCCTGTCTGATTTCATTATAAGGACTGATCTAGGCAAGTGGCAGAGGGTTTAGAGAAGAGGAATGAATAAAAAGAAATTTTAATAACACTGGAAATTGATAAGATTTAGTAATTTTAAACAAAGTTTTCTAACATGAAGATCTGATTGTCTTATTATTAAAGGTAAGTACTAGAGAAGCAACAGTAGAGAAATGGAAAAGATAACGATCCCAATATTTGAATCTGAAAGTATCAATAGAACGTTGCTTGACTGCAGCCCAAGAATAAGACGAGTTCAAAACCAACTGGGCTGAGTATGTAAGTTTGGGGGTTCATAAAAAGCTTGTTATATGAAAAGTAAAGCATGGAGAAGGACAACTCTTCTAGGGAATATTTTGAGTAAAAAGAAATACTTGGGAAACATAGCATTTTACGTTTTGGTAGAGAAAGAAAAAGAGAGTTTGTTAGAACAAGAAGGGCCAGAGAACAATGATATCCCAAGAACTAGATAGGGAAGGAGCATTTCAGGAAGGATATTGAGCTTTGCATGTGATGCAACCTAAGAAAAGAGGGTTTGTTTATTTGTTTGTTTTGTTTTCCCATCTACACTCGGGATTTTGAATCTACCTTTTCCACTTGGGGCTGAGTTCCTGGAGGCTAGAAAATCACAGTAGTGTTAATGGCTTTTATATTGTCTCTGACCAGATATTCCCTTACTCGGTGTGTAATCTGAGCTCTGTTGAAACCTACAAGAGTACTTATGGTCCACCGCAACTCAGATCTGTCTACACATTCCTTCCCTACTAAAGACTGTGCTGTTCCAAGCTCAGAACACACCACACAAACGGTACTGCTAGTACATCCATCTTATACACAATCAACACCTATGTTTTCTAAGATACAGATATTTTTTCTAAGAAAAGAAAGAAAAGGAGCCCTGGCCGGTTTAGCTCAGCAGTTAGAGCATCAGTCCACAGACCTAAGGGTCACAAATTCAGTTTCAGCTCAACGGCACGTACCTGGGTTGCAGGTTCCAGTCCTGGTCAGGGCCGTGATGTTTCTCTCTTCCTCCTTCCCTTTTACACTATCTAAAAATAAATGGAAAAATATCCTCTGGTGAGGATGCACAAAATAATACATGCATACATACACACATACACACATACGAAAGGAAAGGAAAGGAAAACTGCCTCAAATTTCTGACTTCTCCAAATTTACCAACAGGGTTTTTTCTGTTACATTCTGTTAAAATAACACTCTCTAATTTCATTTGTTTCACTTTCCAATCTGGAAAGCTTGTAAACTCTCCTGCAGGTTAACCTGTTGAAATGTAATTTGTCCTTCAAAGTCTTCTCAGACTTTTTTCCCTCCAGCACAACTTTGTCAATTCTTGCAGGTGAAAATAGTGTTATTATATTTCCCTCCATACTCAACACAGACCTTGGCCCAGAGCAGTTTCTCAGTAAATCCAACTGAACTACTTTTGCCCTGGTTCCGTTTCTACATAAGCATATAGAAAGACGTTTTCTTATTCGCATTTTTAAAAAATACACCCAGATCTTTCAGGTGGACAAAAGTTACAAATTAGAATACGTTAGTTAATTTGTTTTAAATATTAATGTAGATTTAATCTATGTGGTATTCTAGATGTAAATTCATCTCTCTAGAACTTCTAATTTTAAATATTTGGTTAAATTACTGCTTTAATATTGTTTATTTATTTTTTTGTTAATTTGAAGAGTTTAAATCATTGATCCTGTTACTTCTCTAAATTAATCTTTTACATTTTTGACAATATTATTAATATGGTGCTCAAGGAGAGTAAGCTTGTTCAGAAGTCTCAATATTTAAAATAATAAACTGTTTATTCTAACCGGAGTCTGTTTTCCTGTGTTTAAAGTAAACTTTGTCTTAAAGATCACTATTAATAACACAACTGCCTTGAGTTTCTTTTCAAACATTGGTAAGTGAATATGTCCTCTTTGGGAAGCCATCCTACAGAAATAGTCCAAAACAGAGGAAAGGAAGTACTTATTTCTTAATCTCATCTTTGTTTTTAATTAAAGAAACAAAAGATGGAAACACCTGGAAAGCCCATAACTTGGGTCTTTTGTAACAAATAACCAACACATATTTGAGTACATACTGTATAGCAGACACTATGCTAGGCATTGGCAAATTATAGCAAAACTCATTCCCATGAAGCCATGATGTTTATAAATAATATGGGAAAAGTTAAAAAAAAAAAACAACTGATAAATAGCCCTGGCCAGTTTTACTCAGTGGTTAGAGCGTCGGCCTGCGGTCCAGAGAAACCCGGGTTCAGTTCCTGCTGAGGGCACGTACCTCCGTTGCGATTTGTCCCCGGGCCTGGTTGGGTTGTGCGGGTGGCAGCCACTCGATGTGTCCCTTTCACGTCGATGTCTCCCCCCGCCCCCCATCTGAACAAAAAATGGAAAAATATTCTCAGGTAAGGAAAAAAAATATTTAAAAAAACAAAAACTGATAAATATTTGAAAGAATATTAAATTGCACATTCACACATAATTACTATGTAAAATGAAGCAAAAACCTATCCCTAGAGAGAAGAGATTGGAATCAAATATACCAAAATATTATGGATAATAAATTTTTAAATTTCTCCTTTCAAATATTATGAATGGTCATATATTTTAGGTAGAACAAAATAAATGCATTGAAAGATAAATGGTGTTCTTAATTTAACTAGTAGAGTTTCCCCTCAGAATGTTTTCATGTATTTTTATTCAAAATTTGTTTTATTTTTCAAAGACACTTGGTTGATCTGTTAAATCATATCTGGACAAATGTTTTGTTTGCAGGCTTAGAAAAGTAGATCGCTTTATTTTATTTTTGTCTAATCGAATTAAAGACCAACAAGAGAAAGATACCAAATCTTTGCTGAGAAAATTTTCATTTGTTAAAAAGAAGAAGAAAAAAATGGCTTTCTTCTTGGCATGGTTGGACAGGAAGGTTGGATTTAATTTAGAATGATTAATGAGATTTTGTCAGGCTCCCTGACTTGTCTACCACTGCAGTTTGTCAGCGCAACAACCTGGGGAACCGGGACGCCACTCTGTCGCCCAAAACCACTCTCCAGGGAAACAAATTAACTGGCAGGACTAGTGCCAGGTACACGTCAATGGCATTGTCTCTCAGATATTGACAGCTTAAAAGTCTGAATCAGAAATATGTGTGTTTGGGGGACACACATACCTAGCATATTGTGTTCAGTCTCTTTACAAGTGGTTAACCACTTCTGAAATATTTAAGTTGTTGGTGTTTTTCCAAAGGAAACCATTTAAAGACAAAATTTTTACAAAGTTCCTCCTCCCTAATTTATTTTAAAAGTTAAACAAAGTAACTTTAGGATCTCAAGTTACTTTATGTTATTTTTTACTTAAAGAATTAAGATGAAGCTTTTCTTAAAAAGTGAAATCATTTTTCACTTTTGAAAACACTTGTTGAACCATTAGCATGACCTAATTTTAACATCAAGTTTCAGATTAAGCTATAAGGTTGTGATCTGACTTAATATACCCCTTTTTTACTTACTCATGTACTTCTGATTAGCCGAAACAAAATTACTGAGCCCGGCTAGTTATGATGTGGAGAATGCAATATATAGCTTTGCTTTGGTGTTTAACTGTAAAAAAGCAATGTTTATCGTCTTATTTCAAAACCTGTCCAGAAGAGTTCAGGCAAAAGGAATTTCATCCAACCAATGCACAGAGAAGGTCGTAAGGATCTGGTAGACATCCGAGGACTACCTTGTAGAAATTGAACCTCATGTATACTCGCCAGTTTTTATCAAAACAAAAAACGAACAAAGGGTGCTTTTATATTAAAGTCTCTCCTGAGCTACCTGACTATATGCAACCTGAGGAGAGAGACCCTCTACCAAAGCAGACTCCCCAGGAATCTCTGCTTGTGCTCCTGTGTTGGGCAGCCTGGGAGGGCACAGAGAAGTGGAGAGGCCTAGACAAGCTTCTCAAGGCCGTTGCTCTCATGGAGAGGTGAATGCAAGGGGGAAAGTGAAGTCGCTGTGTGTATACCCCCACACCGCCACCCATGACATAGCCCTGCAGTGCGATTCTTCCAAAGTGAATGCCATTCTCAATCCTGAAGCCAGAGAATAGTTCATTATATTTCTTTTTTTTTACTTTTTTTCTCCTTTATTGATTTTAGAGCAAGAGGGAGGGAGAGGGAGAGATAGAAACATCAATGAGAGAGAACATCAATTGGCCATCTCCTGCATGCCCCCCACTGGGGATTGGGCCCACAATCTGGGCATCGAATCGAACTTGTGACCTCTTGGTTTTAGTGTATGGGATGATGCTCAACCACTAAGCCACACCGTAAAGGCAGTTTACTGTACTTCTAAAATTCTGAGAAATTAGACTATTTTCAATGTGTGTGTGTGTTTTAGTGTGATTACAAGTTAGGTGCTGCATTACATGTTTTCCCTACAAGTCTAATGTAGGAAATTGTGTTTATGAAGGAATTCACAGTTATTCATTTTATTTCATTTTGGAGATTTTTGTTCTTCCCTCATAAATAAAAAATACAAAGAAAATAATACATAGTATTTTCCAAAATGCCATTCAAGAAAGATTATGGTCATTGCCAATAATAAGCCAGAGAAATGAATTCTTAAATGAGGCCAAGCGTGTATTGGGGTGAAGTGAAATTCGAGGCCCGGTAATAGCTCTCCCAGGGTTAGCATTTATTACCATGTCGAAGTTGTGTTGGTTCTGGGTCTGGTTTATCAGCCTCAGAAATCTGTTTTTTTCAACACACCTCAAGCAAATGTATTTTTCATAACATTGATTTTTTAAAACCCAGAACTAAAGGAAATGTTACAGCAATAATTTATGAATGTGATCAGTACATTCTCTCTCTTCACCAGTCTTTGGAAATTGACTGATGATTATGAAATCAGAACTAGGGAAGTTACCCAAATCCAGTGTTTTGTGTTTTGTATCAGACAAAAAGAGCCAAATACATCTCGGTCTTAATAGAGATGTTTTTGCATATTTATAATTTGATAGCTAAAGTTATTTTTAATACGTATTATCAATACTTGCTTCCATGTTTCTCTTTGTTTTATACTGTTAAGTTGAACAGTATTTGCCCTGCCCCTCACCAGTTTTCATTTTCATTGACTCAGAATGTTTTTAATAGTCTCAATTATTACCACATCGATTAATTTAAAACCTTAATATAGCCAGTCCCATCACAAGCATGGCCTGCTCTCCTAAAGTCATTCTGATGGACATTGTGCTTTTCTCACTATTGAAGGAAAATCTCACTTCCTACATAAACAAGCTCATGATAGCCCCCAAGTACCTATACCACGACCTAAATTTGGGGCATTATTTTACATGATAGTGAGGTTGCAATGCAAATATTCAAACAAGCATTTCAGGGGGGTTCATTTTGTGTTCACATCGACCACACATGCACTAAAATAGAAACGATATGGAGAAGATGAGCATGACCACTGTGCAAGGATGCCACGCAGATTCATGAAGCGTTCCATATTTTAACAAATTAAAAAAAAAAAAAAAAAGGATGGCTCATTTTGTGCCAGGAGGGAATTAACTAGGTGTTGCGAAAGAGACAAAAGTAAAGAAAACTGCTCCCTGTCGTCAAGGGCTTCAGTGGGAGGAAGGCAACCGTAATCACATACAGTTCTATAATACTTTATATATATCACCGTAACTTAGTGAAGGTCTGGAGAAGTTATGTAGCTTTTGGAGTTTCACGTGACCACTTGTACGGATTAAGAGAGGCAGACTCCCAAGTACATTTCATATATTGCTAACCTTCATGAACAGCAGAAGAAAATGTGTTAAAAGATTTTTTTTTTAAGTGTTTTAGAAAGAGAACAGTGAGCAATTAATACTGACTGGCTGAGTGTGAGAGGATGAATGTTATTTTAATAGGTGTATTACTTGGTAAGAGCACAGCCTGATCAAACACATGGAAATATAAAAGTGTATGAGGTTCATAGAACAGTGAGTCACCAGCTGGAATTCAAGGGTTAGGTCTGAGCAATCATTCCGTGGAAGAAAGAACTGGAAAATAGAGGTTGGAGCAAGAATATGCTAAAGTAGAGAGTTGCTACTTTATTTTTATAGGCAATTGGAGACTTTCATAGAGAAAGGTATCATTTCTGATCTGTGAGTTAGGAAGATCTTTCTAAAGCCAATCTAAAATATGAAGTAGAAATGCAACAGAGCATAGTGTAAGGAAACCACTGAAGAGGCTATTATAATTATGTAAGGGAAATATGATGGAAACCTAAACTTTAGTATTGTTTTTGGGAGTGGAAATGATAGAGGGAAGATTTGAGAGACATTTTGGAAGTAAATCGTCTTGGCAAATTACTGGCCATTGGATGTAAAGATGAAAGAGTTAAAAAATTACTCCAAATGGTCTGAAGAAGGTGTTGTCATTATAGCGAGAAGGAACACAAATGAAGGACAAGTCTTCTTGGGTTGAGAGTAAAATGATGGAAGAGAGGATATGAGTGGGAGAGAATGAGTTCCCCTTTGGTTGGTTAGTTTGAAAGTATAATATAGAACAGAGATTGGGGATAAAAGATAAGATAGCATTTTGGGGGAGTCCTCAGTATAAAAATGACAGAATAAACCACAGGAATAAATATGTATATTGATAATGTCACGATCACTTAGCAAGTGCCTGTCAAATAGTGAAGTCTAAATAAGTATTTGTTGAATGAACAGATGGAGAGACAAGGGCTCTCAAACCAAATATTCAAAAATCTCAAAGTCCTTTAATAACATGGCTTGGATATAAAAGTATACCATGTTTCAACTTAAAGAATCTTGCATGCCAACTCTCTGTTTAGAAAAGTATCCTACCTATTGCCAGGACGTGAGGCATCCTACTGAACCAATATTCTTTTTTAATGGATACAGTATAATCGACTCTATAATTGGAGTACCCCAGACTAAAATTAAACCAAACCAAGTTAAATCTCTCACTGATTAAGATATATGCAAATCAGCCCTAACCTCCCACCTGCATATTCTCAGCGTCCTAAGGCACTACTCCAGTTTAGCTGTTTTCACTGAGGTTTAGTGATGCAAAGCATCTTCTGACTTAGGTCCCATTGCCTTCAAATCCTTGACCAGGATGCTGTCCTCTAATATACTTACTACAACTACAAGCCCTAAAAGAGCCAAATATTTTCTTAGCAGAAGTGGGAAAAGGAGTTTTCTCATATGGGGCCAAGCCCTAGTCTTTGAGGCCCTCCCCTGACTCTGCCTTCAGCCTTCAGTGCTTGGCTTTCCCCTCAAAGCTCTTCTCTGCATGCAAATCAGCCAGAAAGCTCAGTCACCAGACTCACCAATTCCTCACAAAGGCCCACACTCAACTTGGGACCACCCCAGTGCTCCTCAGCTCCTCCAGCCAGGCACCTGCCCCATAACTTGGGGGAACTATAGAGTTTATTGTCTGCACCAGGACACTTTTGAGAACGCTAAAATGCTAAACCAGATGGTACTTCAAGACAGCAGGCGTAAACTAGGAAGTGTGGTCACCCTACCCATGACTATAATACAACGTGATAAATGCAATAATAAAAGTTTAAACACTTTGCAGTGGGAGCATTTTGAATGTAAATGCACCAAAGGGTCAAAATTTGGTTCCAATCTAAAACATCTCTAAATTATTTTCCAATTGGCGTCCATGACAAAAAAAAACCCACAAAACAACAACCATTCTGTTAAACCAGGGACCTTTGTACCACACTGCACAGCAGAGCTCTGGCTGTGGCAGGAAATAATCTTTCAGCATCTTGGAAATAGATTTTGCAAGTTATGATTCCTGTAGAGGAGCTCATTCTGTAGTTTATTCAACACCATAAAAAACTGAGTCTCAGAAATCTCTGGAAAGATTGTGGAGATATTTAATTGACAATAATAATTTTAAAAATGTATCTGCATCTATTGGTATATATCCATCTCTGAGAAGATCTGAATAAGGGTGTTTCAAAGCAAGGGAAGCAGCAAATGCAAAGGCTATGAGGCAAAAGCAAAGTTGATCCATGTACAATAGAATGTAAGCTTCGAATACACTGTTTTATTTGCCTCTCTATTCCAAGTACCTTTAAACAGCCACTGAAACAAGAAAAACTCAGTACATATTTGAGGAATGGATAAATGACTAAGGAAACCCATAGAAGGAAGTGTGTTTAGAGAAGAAGGCAAAGGTCATGACTTGCAGGGCCTGGTGGTTGGTGGTAGTAACAAATTAGGAAAAATCTCAAACTCTGCATTTAAACTACACTAAAAATATTTCTACATGCTGTATAAACCATTTTCCTTTTTTTGAATCCTCATCCGAGGACATTTTTCCATTTTTGGTTCAGATAGAGTAGGAGGGAGAGAGAGGAAGAGACAGAAAACATCGACGTGAAAGGGACACATCGAGTGGCTGCCACCTGCACCACCAACCAGGGCCGGGGACAAACTGTAACCAAGGTATGCGCCCTTAGTGGGAACCCAACCCTGGTCTCTCTGGACCGCAGGCCAACGCTCTAACCGCTGAGCCAAACAGGCCAGGACATATAAACCATTTTCTAAAAAGGAAAGTTTTTGTTTTTGTTGTTGTTGTTTGTCTTGTTGAGAGATCTAAGGATGAATAAAGGTGCAGTTTTATTTGCAAATATCTTTTATTTTAAAGGAGAGATCTGAATAAATAATTTTATTTCTTCAATGTAAGTGTGAGGTCACACTTACGGGTTGTCTGGAAACAAAATGTATGCATGATTGCATATATGTATATATGTATATATTGGCAGAAGTGTTTGACTACTTTTCAGCATGGATATCATTTTAAGATGCTAGTGTTTGGAATAATATGAGCAAATCCCAATGTGATACCTAAACTTATCTACATGAATTTGAATACAATCACTCAAGGTTTCATGGAGCTCCATGCAAAGCCACATGTTCAGACCTTTAGGCAGATTTCTATAATCCACACACATTGGGGCACAGAGAAAAATGAGAGGATAAAAGGAAAATTTCTGAAGATAAGCTTGGGATCTTGTAGGCAGGCCTCTGGGGAATGCATCTGACCCTTCTTTCCTGGAAGGGATGAGCCCCTCACAAGGAATGCTTTATAAAACTCAACACAATGCATTATGACCATTAGCTATTAATTGTAGTGTTGACAAAGGGACATTTCAAACAAATATGGTGGAAATTTTCATAGAAATACACTATTCTTTTCACCAAAATTTGCTCCCATTAAACCGTCAGTTTTGCACACTTTGCCACCTGGTGGATAACCTGAAAACTACAGGATTTCATTTTATTCTATTTCCTAATGATAAAATGTCCATACTCTCGGAAAGAATTGCTCTAACTCTTCCTAGGGCAAGGATTTTGTTTGTTTTCTTCATTGGTACTCCTAGAATAGTGCCTGGCACTAGTAGATAAAAACAGTTGTTAAATAAATGACGAATTATCACTGCAAGTATACTCCACTTGAAGACTGTTATGGAGAATGTAATTTAAAATATAATCACAGTATGGTATTGGGGAAATGTGTTTCCTAACTGCAATGAAAGTTACAAATTATTTTAAAAGTAAGTGTTGGGGTCTATAGTATTGGGTTAGAAATAAATCTACATAGCTCATTAGGAACAGGAGATGTTATCATTGCTCTGTGTAGACAGGTAATGCAGATAGTTGAGTGAGAGCTTAACTCTCAACCCCAAATACTCCAAAAATAATTAAATGTACCCTGGGAAATGTCCTTTCTCCTTTGCCTGAAAACCATGCCTAGCTTTCTTCTTGCATTGGGCTTTGATGCTTGCTATTCCCTTTTTCTGCTGCCAAAAATCATGAAGCCCCTTTACCCCTTTTTTTCTTTTAAAAAAGAGTGTACGCATATGTATGAATATATATTATTCTATTTCAAAATAACATTCTTTGCTTCTACTCAGTGAACCAAAAGTGTTAATGACTTCTAAACATATTTCTCCTAGAATAAAGATTGGTGATTTCATAAAGTAGAATAATGATCATAATTTTTAGATACAATATGTCTCTAATGTCTTTTTGATTTCTGAGACTTTCTTTCTGAAAATATTTTAAACACAAAACATATGCTTATGTTTTAGCACCTTAAAATTTGGACTGGAAAAAAATAATTATGTAATCCACCTAAAATTTCTTTCTCAGGAGGATTATTTCCATTTTAAAATTAACAAAAAATATATACAGATAACATAACACTATACCTGTGGTTAATTGAAAGAACTTAATTAGTTTTTTTTTTAAATCAAACTGATAATGGATTGGTAATATCCTAATACGTTTTGATAATACACTGTTGAGATACAATCTTGAGTCTTTTAAGACGAAACTATATATATATTTGTTACATAAAAGTCATTTATGTTCCATAGAATTAAAACTCTCTTCAGAGTTCATAGTTTTAAACAAATATGCACACACATCTAAATAAATATTAAATCTCAAGCAAAAAAAAATGACTTTATTTTGA